AAAAAAGTAGGAGGGAGGAAAAGATTACTAACAAACTCCTTCCTTAGCTGGTTTCATTGAATTCATCCTGGGGAGAGTGGGTCACAGTTTAATTCAATAAAATTTACTGAGAATTTTATTAAAAAAAAAAAAAAACACCAAAAAAAGGGTTTTGTTTGTTTGTTTGAGACAGGAGTCTCACTATGTAGCCCTGGCTGTCCTAGAACGCCCTATGAAGACAAGGCTGGCCTTGAACTCACAGAGCTCCACCAACTTCTGCCTTCTGAGTGCTGGGATTAAAGGCGTGTACCAACATGCCCAGTATTATTTTTAACTAAGTCCGGTGTACTGGAGTCTCTAACCACAGCACTTAGGAGGTAGAGGTAAGGAAAAGCAAAAGCAAAAGTTGAAGATCATCTTCCCCTACAAAATGCGTCGGAGGCCAACCTGGGCTAAATGAGACCTTGGCTGAAAGTAATAATAATAATGATAAAGCTGCCTGAGACTAATAAAACCAGCTCCTTGGTTTCATCTCCCACAGTAGGTCACAGACTTAAGTGTGAAGGTCTGAAACATCAGGCCTGACTCTAAGCTGCTGTTGGCGAAGCTGGAGTTTTCTCCATGGGCCTGGTCCTCTCTCTGGGCCTCAGGCCTTTTCTCATGTGGAGAAGGCTTTGCCTTCTAGTCTCACTGGCCTTGGGGCCGGCTGCCATTATCTCCCCAGGAGCACTGAGCCCAGACTCCCTGAAAATCCTGACAAGGTGCTCCATTCTCCCCATCCCTAGGGTCCAGGGCATCAGGAAGCTGAGCAGGTCTGAGGCACGGGCAGCACTCAGGGTATGTAGCCCAAGGCAACTCCCAGGACATAGGGTAGCAGCCACAGAGCTGAGGTTAGTTCAATAAATCATGGAGGCTAGGGCCTGGGGGAGGGGAAGGCTGGGAGGGGAGGGGGCTGGATAAATAATTCATTAAACAAATAAACAAGGAGCCTGTGAGAGCGAAGCTCGGGCATGGTGTGAGCAGAGGCAGCCGCCGCCAGCTCCTGACATGAAATATTCACAGGCTCTGCACCTTCCACAGGGTCATGAGTGTTCCGCTGCGTAAGTACCATAGACACCTGGGTGCTATGGGGTGGGGCCAGGTGTGTGCATTGGCCTTCTGACTTCTGAGTGTGTGTCCACATGGCCCTCTGGTGTGCTGGACCACCTGAGGTGACATGAAGCCACACATATGACTGACACATGGGATAAAAAAAAAATATGGATGACGGCAGGAAACATAGTACCCCCAATTTTGTCTAGGATACAAAAAATTAGGGTGCAATGCTTGGTTGATGGGGTCAAAGTATAATAATCTCAATTTCTACACGTGCCCTGATCCTCTACTGGGCCTGGGAAGCCAAGGGAGCCTCTAGTAGGTGGCATCTCTGGGGTGTGACATTAGAAGTGTATGTACCTCTGGTGGTACTGGAGGAAACCCTGGGAAGGAGGAGGCAGGTACAGTGTCAGTGTGAGCCTACTACTCAGTGACTTGCCTGTCACTTAGCTTCCCTGGACTGCTTTTCTCTCCAGCGGGACTAATAATACCCTCCCTGCTTGAGAAGTTGCTCCTTGCAAAGATCAAGATCCATCTACACTCTCTGGGAAGCACTTAGCACAGTCTTTAGGGCCCAAGAGATGTTTGATTAATGGAGGCTTCATCAGAATCCTTATTAAGAGGTTACCTCCTTGCTCTGCCCACCTAGACCAGCCCAGAATCCCTTCCCACTTGCTTCCCCTGATTTTCAGAGCTTGCCTGATAACCATCACAGAGAGAAAGGTGAACTAGGCCTTGGAGAGTGGGAAAAGATTAAATAGGCTGAAGGAAGGGAGAGTCACATTTTTTAAAGAAGTATTAGCACATACCTTTAATCCCAGCATTTAGGAGGAGGCAGAGGCAGGTAGATCTCTGTGAGTTCAAGGGTAGTCAGGGAGTACCAAGTGGTGAAATAAATAAATAAATAAATAAGAAATCTCCTGCCTTCAAACTGTGGGAGAAGGAGCTCTTGACCTTCTCAGACCCCACAGCTGCTTCTTAATCTCAAACTCTTCCTAGGTCTGGTGCTCACCAAAGCTTTGATTTCTAGAAGGTGGCTATGAGGTGTAGAGAGGTCTTTGAGCTGGGTACCACTACCCAGACCCCATTTTCACTGTCAGAGTTTGGGTCCCCACCCTCTGCCCAGCAATCAAGGGCATCCCTGGCAATGAAGTCTATGCCTGGGCAAAGACCAGAGTGGGTGGGGAGAACCCGGGCCGCAGAGAGCCTCGTCGAGAGTCAGGGTGGAGTAGCTGGCAGCCTCTTAGCAAGCCCTAGCATTCCCCAGCTCTCTCCTGTCCCCTGGAAAGGATCCGCTCCCCAGGGAGAGCGCCAGCAGACAGGTCTGAGCTGGCCTGCTCTTTTACACACCAGAACCGGTGGGGGAGGGGACCTGGGCTCCTCGTGGAGAGTGGTGGATGTGACACCGTGTCACTGGGAAGTCCGACCGAGTGGCCTGCCCTGCCTAGGAGTACCTACAGCCTGGAACCCAGCCCTCTGTCTCCCTTGGCCAGACAGCGGCTGTTTTAGAAGCTAGTTTCTGGCTCCCTGATGCAAAGATAATGTCTGCCCACCTTTTCCCATGGAGCCAACATCGGTTCTCCACTTCTCTCCCCTGGGCTGTGCAGGTTCAGGCCAATCTGCACAGGAGCTTCGCAGCATTGATCTGTAATAAAACCACAATATGAGTTCAGGAGAAGAGATCAAGAGATCCAGATCTCTCTCTCATGCACACACACACACACACACACACACACACACACACACACACACACAAAGTATACTGTGAAACTCTACCAACAGTCCTTAAAGTACATCTCCACACGGACCTTTACTATGTCAAAACACATGAACATCACTAATTGTGCGCATCTCCCTGCCACCAATTTTGTTCTCCACAACCAAAGCCTTCTCTCAGAGCCCGGTCTCCCCTGCGTTCCCAACCGTTTGTATGTGGCTCTCTGTATTAATGCTTGCACTTGGCAGCATACTTAGTTAATGGACGGTTTGTCTCTGAAGAATTCTTTCTTTTTTTGAGACAAGGTTTCTTTCTATAGGTTTCTCACTCTATAGGCACCAGGCTGACCTCGAACTCAGGCATGTTCTCTAAGATTTCTTAAGAGAAAGGTTCTTGTCTCATGCAAGTATGTGTACTCAGCACCCAAATGAGCTTGACATTTAGTTAGCAGAGGTGTTTAATCAGTGATTGTAAATCCATGAGAGAAAAAAATGCATTGAACGGTGCCACCGTTCCTAGAATCCCTTGAGAGTCCACATGAGTCCTAGAGAGCCCTGGACTCCCGGGAGAGATACCCTGAGCGTGGCTCCTGCCTGTGTCCAGGCGCCCTTATCTCCCCGCCTGTCTTTCCTTATAGCCTGTCCTTTTCTCCCTTTATCGCTGGGAGACCATGAATGTCAGCTCCACATGCTTGGCAGCCAGGAGGCAAGGCAAGGGTTAAATGACACCTCATTAGTGTTTAATTGAGGGAAGGAAGCTTCCCTGGCACCAGACAGGTGGGCAAGCCTGCTCCTTGCTGGAACCAGGCATCTCTAGTTCCAGCCTCTCACCAGGCGTGTGGGTGATTTGGCCCTGGAGACCTTCAACCCAGCCGGGGCACCTCCCCCCACTACCAGCTTTGCCAATTCAGTCTCCAGGCAGTGCCGACCAGCACTCCCCATCTGTCACCAACATCTAGAGGAGAGGCACACTCCTTATTCTTTCTCCTTTAGCTAGTCTCTGCCACTTCCCACCCCCAGGAGACTCTGGAGAGTGGGAGGAGGGGTGTGGAGCATGGAATTGGACAGTGGAGGAATACAGAGCCACCAAGGGATAGATTGCAGATACAGACAAGTGACAGAGACAGGGAGGTGGAAATGTCTGCCCAATTTGACCTTAAATGAACAGAATGCAAATGAGATGCAGACGATATGCAGATGAACACCAGGATCTCAAAACTGACATCCCCCATGGCAGCAGCAGCTCCGCACCCAAGGCACCATGGCGGTGGCGAATAACCCCTACCTAAACTCTCTGGCTGAAGTGACACTGACCTGTGCTTTGAGTGAAAAAAGGAATTTTAAGGGAGACAAGCGCTTGGCTGGGTGAAGGCTACAGAACCCGGGACGCTGAACTCCTCTCCAGCTTCCTCATCACATTTCCCAGCACCGTCTTAACGCAGCAGCTACGGGCGATGGGTCGCAGCCGCTGGAGCAATGACCACTCTCAAGGTTATGCTTGGACGCACCGTCGGTTGCTATGGGGACTTTCGTTTCCAGGCCCGAACCAATGCAGATTGCCACTGATGACCTCATGCCCCAGGTTCAGGGATTCTATTGGCTATCCGGAAGCCAGAGTGCTCACTTTTCAGCTGCGTCACTGCGGGGATCCCCCGACGACCCTAGCCAGTGTGGCTAACTAAAAGAATGGCAGCCAAGCTCACAGAGAATGAATGAATGAATGAATGAATGAATGAATGAATGAATATGGAAAATCAAGAAGAGAGAGAGGAGAGAAGAGGGGGGGGGGAGTCAAATTAGGGATTTGAAAGGCAATTTGCAAAGTGATCAATGTGGAGCAGAAATCCAGGCAAGAGATTCTCTCAAGCCTGGGGGACAGAGATGAAGTTTTCGCATCTGTCCCGCTGAGACTAGGGTTGGTTTTAGTAAATGGAGGGCCCCACCCTCAGCCGTCTAGCGCCGCGGAATTTAGGGGAGACCGGTGACGCCCCAAACTTGCAGGTCTGCTTAACCTCCTGGAACTGTGCCCCTGAACACGCCGCGGAGACTTCTCGTGGGTAGGGCCAGGCTCCGGAGGGCCGCCCAAAGCCTTCGGCCTCTGTTTGGCCCTAAGAGCAGACTCCATCAGAGCTTTCTCCCAGAGAGGACCTGGGCCGACAACCCGCATCCGTGCAGGGCCCACGCTGTGAGGAAGGGAACAGAAAGGTGGGGGGTTGGCTTGGCCTGGAGGCCTACGGCCTGAGGGCGCTAGTTTGCAGCCCCACGAAGTCCAGCTCCTGTGCCCACCCCAGCATCCGCCCTTGTCCCTGCGAAGGCCTGGGCTGTCTGCAAATGCCCGAGTCTGTACAAAGTGCGGTCTGAGACTGAGACCATGTGTCTGAACTCGAGAAGAGCCAACGAGGTCCTGGTCCCTTTTGCACAAGGTCCCTTTTGCATTGCCAGCCAGAGCTCCTGCTGGGTCCACAAAGAGGTGCACGAAACCTCGGAGGAGCTGGGTAAGAACCCTGTATTTCTGAATCCGGGGCAGAGGCCGCTACACAGTTGCCCCGGACTTGCCCTGCTTATGATTTCTCTGACGGAAGGACCGAGGTAACTGTATCTTTGGTTTCCATGGCAACACATAGACGCCCTCCAGGAAGATGGCAGCGTTGGAACTCCAACGCTGGACCGAAAGACTCCCTCAGCCCACAGCTCCTCCCACCGTTCTTAGCTCGCCTTTTCTTCCACACGTAAACATCCTTTTAATTGCTCAAGATCAAAGCTTAGGGTCAGGACCCTAACCCATACACCAATAACGCGGCACTTTCTGAAACTGGCCTCGAATAAAGAGATGATTAACTCAAAATCTGCTCTGCCTGCAGCCACGCTCCTTAACCCTGGGCCTTAGCCAGAGCCACAGAATCACCACGAACTGCGAGGGCCCACAGTCGTGTGACAAGACAGGTCCCCCGTCCCCTTCGAGAGAGGAACCGATCGGTCCCAGGCGTGCGTGCGTGCGAGGAGCAGCCGGGGAAGGCCTCGCCGTCCCCAGCACCTTGGTGCTCCCCCCTCAAGCCCCCGCCCCATAATGTTCACACGCTGCCTCTCGCTGCCGCAGCCGGGGCGGGCTAATCAGCACAACATCCACCTATCGATCGCGGGCTGCGTGCCAGGCCGGCGGGCACCCCGCCAGAGGAGCCTGCGGGGCACCAGGGAGGGCAGAGCGCAGCTACAGAGGGGAAGGGGTGCTCCTTCTCCTGCATCCACCTAGGGCACAGTTCAGAAAGGGGGACCTTGCGGGGTTAGGGGGTGTCGGTCTTCTCAGAGAGGAAGCGACGGTATCGAACCAAGGGCGAAGGAGCCCTCTCTCCTGAGCTCCGCCTCCTCCTTATAAAAGCTCAGAACAAAGAGGCCGCTGGGGAAGAAGGGCTTTGATCCGACCCCACCTTCCCGGTTCTAGGCCAGGCACCGCCCAGAGTGCCCTTGGGAGGGGGAGGGCCGCCAGGCTAGCTGCGACGACGCCGGCATTCTGAAACCCAGGTGCTTCTCTGTTTCCTCTGGGTTTTACCCCAGCGCCCGCCCGCCCGCCCGGAGGAGGCCCTGCCAGGGTGGGACGTCAGCAGCATCTGCCACCTAGCACAGGAAGATGGCTGGGGAGGTGCGAGAGGGTGCCAAGCTCCACAGCTGCTGCTGGCACCTATCCCGAACTGCCCAGAAGGGTGCCCACTGATGTCTGGCATGGACGGCCTGGGCACAGCTGGCATGGAGGTCAGAGCGGAGGCCCCAGGGAGTTCAGGTGTCAGGGAAGAAGCCAGGAGGGAAGAGTAACACAAAGATGGGTGGTTTTTAACGAAAGTTTATTATTTGTGTGTGCGCATATTCTCATGTTCACTGTGGCATGTTCATTGACATGCCATGTGGCGTACCCAAAGGACAACTTTCAGGAGTCTGTTCTCTCTTTTCCACCATGTGGGGTCCAGGGACTGAACACAGGTGGTCAAGGCTTTAATCTGCTGAGCCTTCTCACTGGCATCCTTTTTTTTTTTTTTTTTTTTTTTGGACAGGGTCTCTCTCTCGTACCCAGGCTGACTTCCTGCTCACCACCCCCCCCAACCCCCCAGTGCTGGATTACAGGTGTGAGCCACCATGCCCCATGAGAATGGGTGATTTATTGAAGGTTTGGTCCAAACACTTATAAAAATACAAACCAGCATGAAATTCAACCTCATGGCAAGTCCGTCTTCACAGAAGACAAGTGAACTGGCCCCCTGGGAGGGCAACAATTGCCCCTGGGAAGAGGCCTAGAGGGCACAGATGGCTTCTCCTTTGCTCCTGGCCAGGAACCCACCTGTTCCCAGGTCTTTGGCTTTGGCCCCCAGTGGCTCAAGGATTTGATCCCACCCAACCCCAGTCTTCCGGGTGGGAGGGGACACGAAGCCATCAGAGCAGCTTAGGCTCCGGGGTGCCCTGCACTGTCTGCAGCTCGCTCGCGGGTCCTCCTCAGCCTGTGGTGAGGGGCGACGGTCACCTACAAGGGTCACCTCAGATCCTCTGCCTTTGCACATCAAAGCTTCATCGTGTCCGCCAGGCTTGGTATCGCCGCTGCGGCAGCAGGAACCCCTTCAACAGAGGATCTTGGGGAGGGCTCTGGTTCCTTGGGGTGACAGGGAAGGTGTGCTTGGCTCACAGAACTCGCAGGAGACGAAGTATCGGGAGCAGCAGCAGCAGCAGGAGAGACAGGGGGCTGGACGCATGCTCTCCTCGCCACCCAGAGGTGCCACTTTCGCCGGGGCTCCCGACAGGATGGGCCGACTCCGACTCTGTGAGGGATTAGAGGTGGAAGTGTGGGGTCTGCCTGCTTCCTCAGCGGCCTCCTCCCCGCCCTTCCCATTCGGTTTCTATTCTCTAGGGTCTCCCAAGGCAGCCACTGCCTTCCCACGATCACCTTCATCCTTCCCAAACCCCAACCTCCAAGTTTTCCCAATCAATAGTCCCCAATTAAGGCTCTGAAGGGCCTTGCCCCTTGGGGACCCCATTCTCTGTGCCCAGCTTTTTTAAAAGGTGTGGTGGGATCTCCCACAGGGGGGACTCATGGGAGACGAGGCTGCAGCTTGACGCTTAGCCTGGACCCCTTAGGTCTGATGCTCCTGTTTCCCCGACTCCTCCTCTCCTCCCCAGGGCTCCCGACCGGCTGGGAGGGCTGCTGGGGAGACCCCGGCCCACTTACGGCTCCCCTTGCAGCAGACGGACACCTGGAGGCGCAGGCACCGGCCGGAACTCTCCGGGGTTGGCACCGCTGATGGGCAATTGGGAGGAAGAAGTCAGCACAGAAAAACCCATCCCTTGGAGTCAGACGATTTCAGGCCTCCTCGGCTTATCTCCTTTGGGAGTCACACCGAGCAGCGGCTCATCCACGCCGCCCGGCCTCATCTCCCTAGTCCTCCTTCCGGCTTTCTGTACTCTTCTCGGCACAGATTCGGCTGAGACGGTTCCTTCCCCTGTCCCAGACTCAAACCAAAACCCCTCAGCCTCGGGAGCCACAGCCCCCCTTCCCCACAGCTTCTCCTTCCTCCTTCCTTTAACACGAGGCGAAGGCAAAGAGCCCGTTCCTGTTCCCCCCTTCCTCGCCCCCCCCCCCCAGGCATGCAGTATGCCCTGCTCACTCACAGATGTAGTAGTAAGTCTCTCCAGGCAAGAACTCGAAGCCCAGGGAGAAGGGTGTGAAGCGCTGAATCTTTTCGGAGAAGCGAACAGGGCCAAAGGGAGCAAAAGGCAGAGAGCACTTCCATCGCTGAAAGGCGTTTGCCCCCTGTGCCTTGCAGGCCTGGTAGCCTGACCAGTCCACCATGTACAAAGCAAAGGTTTCCGGGCCCTCCGGGGGGCCCGGGCTTTCATAGTGTGGGCAGAAGATGTCTAGGTAATCGTTGAGGCCCAGCTCCACCACGGCATCCCCTCGAAGCAGCCTGTGGGGACAAGGGGGTGTGGGCTGACGGGTTACGGCCTAGCACAGATGGGACAGCTCTGGGGTCTGAGCTGGCCTCTCTTGAGCCGGCCTCCCTCACCCGCTAGAGATGGAATAGCTCAGGAAGACACACGTTTCCAAGAACGACCCACCCCTTTTCAAAATCTTCTCCCCCTCTTTTTGGTAGCTGGGATACAATCTAAGGCCCGCATGCTCAGTGCCCTACTACTGAGCTATGACAAGCCTTTTAACTTTTCCTTTTGGAACAGGGGCTTGCTAAGTTGCCCAGGCTGGCCTTGAACTCACTCTAGTTCAAGCAGGCCTTGAACCTATGATGCTCCTTCCCTAGCCTTCTAAGTAGCTGAGATTACAGTCCTGTGCCAATTCCTAGACTGTACACCTCCCTGAGAGACAGTGTCTAGGTAATAAATGTGCCGATCAAGTCCCTTTTAGAGAGGTTAAGGGGCTGTACTGCCCAGCCCATAAGGCTTCCTTATGGGTGAGGCGGCCATCAGCCTACCCAGGCTTTGAGGAGACCTTCCCCGCAGCCCATCGCC